ATCACCCTGGGTGAACACACCTGAATCAAATGATTAGTTCATTACCAGGCCTCTGGAGAACTTCAAGACATGTTGAGGAGGTAATTTAACCATTAAATCAGCTGTGATGGATCAAGGACATCTAAAACCTGCAGGACACCGGCCCTCGAGGCCTGGAGTTTAACACCTGTGCTCCAAGTGAGGGGGGGTAGGGGGGGGCGTAAGACTCTGGAATAAAAGCTTCTCATTTTTAAAATTAACATTAACTGATGAATTCACCAGGAAAACATTTCTCCTCGGTGTAGAACTGAGGCGTGAGTATTGTTGAGCTCCGAGTTCGTGTTAAAGGACTCCAGCATGTGTTCAGTGAAGCTTGGCGGTACCGGTACCTGATGATGGTGAGGAACTGCGTCATGGTGAGCTCCTGCGGAACCAGGAACTTGGTTTTGTCCAGCGGAGGCAGATACTTTTCCTTGTCGTACCTCTCGATGATGACCTGCAAGGCGCAGTGAGTGGGTGAGAACATAAAACACACCTTCTCGGACTCCGCGTGAGCCCCACCGCGCGCTTACCGGGACCTTGTTGGGGAACTTGGCCCTGATGCCCGCCACTTCCCGTTTCCTCGTTGCTGTGGAAAGAAGAGAGACAGTGAGTTTGCTGGACATCAGTGTTGCTGCTGCTCGCGGCGGTGCCGGTTACCTAAACTCTTCCTCAGCTTGAACGGTTTGCTGTGCGGCTGACTTTTCTCGCGCGACGCCATGGTACGTGACGTAGAGCCGGGTCCACATGCTGCGGCGCGAGCGCGAGCTAAATAGAGGCTGCAGCGCATCAGCTGATTAGCACGTGGAAACATGAGCGCGATTTAATTAGGTTAGAGTGCGGAGCAGGGCCGGCCCCAGCAGCTTTTAGGCCCAAGGGCAGCAGACAGCCCCCTCCACCCCTCATCCTGGTTATTAAACGGGATTATTGATAATGTGCCTTTGAGAGAATTTAGAAAATGTTTAATGTTTTTCTTTAAGGACGGAATTTGTTCACCACAGTTACCACATGTTTTTGTCTTGTGGTAGAGTTGTTACTCCTCCACATTGAAAGGAGCTGAGATGCCTAGGTGGTTCAGCATCTGCCTCAGATGCCTCTTGGGTTAGATCGTTAAACTGCCATCGCAGAGAGCCACAGCCAGAGAAGCAGATGGATGGATGGACAGATAGAGGTATGGATGGATCATTTAAAAACTTGAAATTTAATCACATCAGATATTTAGAAGACAGAGTTCTTAACAACTCACGACCTCTACAATGTAACCTTGATGACACAGCTTGGGGGGGGGGTAACCACACAGTGAACCTCCTGAGGTTGAGACTTTTCTTTGCAGGAGTCCTGGGCAGAGAATCAAGCAAGGGGGAGAATGCTCCATGGAAGGGAACCAAGGCTGCCTTCAGCCACTATGCTCTATAGGCGACTAGTCTTTAAAATTAGCTGCTGTAACAACCAGCTTTTAGAAAAATAATGTGTTTCTTTTCCTCTTCAGCATCATCCGGGTACATAAACCTGAACCAGATCAAGGTAAATCATAGCAAACTGACTACGTAACAGGCGCTCTTCTTCACTTGGACCTTCCTCTGCCAATCACCTGCCACCAGCCAACCATGCAGGAACATTCAGGGCAGTTTGAATTTCTAGAATTGTTTCACATCGACTGTTGGAGAAAAAAATGAATTACTGACCGTAAAAGAATACTTATGATTCTAACTGATTCAAATTCAAATTCAAATTTTATTTGTCACGTACACAGTCATACACAGTACAATATGTAGTGAAATGCTTGGACAACTGCTCGTGACCTAAAGAAAACAAAAAAGGAAAAGGCTATGAATAAGATAGGAAATAAATATGAAAAATTAAAAAGTGTAAATTTAACTAGAAAGGAATAAAATATAAATTAAAGTTGAAAATAAAATAACTGTACAACAAAATACACAATATAGAACTATATAAGAATGTATGAAGAAATATAAATAAATATATACACAATAACAGCAGCTGTACAAGTATTATCTGGAAATGAAGAATATAATGTCCAGTGTTGTGCGATCCACATTATGTCTTGTGCAGTGCAAATATGCTTAAAGTGATTTAAGTGATGAAGTGATAACAATGTCCAGAAAGTCCAGTGTGTGTAAGAACCATATGTGTGGGTCAGTACTGTGTGGTGGTGTGATTGAGAGACCGTATCGCCTGCGGGAAGAAGCTCCTCCTCAGTCTCTCTGATCACTGATGACCAATGTATAGTTTTTGTGCTGTTTTCCAAACTATTTTGCTGTTATTGTCTCTTTGTATTCTTATTCTTATTATCTTTGTCGTTTGAGTCTATTTATATTGGGCCAGTCTAAAGTTAACAGCAGTTTATGAATGGAGGATGCTTACTATTTAAATTGATATTGAAATCAACAGGAAATAATAAATACATCCAATACATTCAAACATAGAATTCAGATCTGTTTATTTCTTTTTTACTTAATGTTTATTTTAATAAATAAAACAACAATAACAATAATAAGAGCGCTTCAGCTATTATATTTTGAAAATCCGGACAGGATGTGGTTGCTGCGTTCGTTCCGGCAGCTCGACTCTCCGCCGCTTTGACAGCTGGCTCGAGCAGGAGTTGTTCGGTTGATGGACCGCATTTTCCTGCGGAGGATATTTCACTGAAGCGGGAGTCAGCACCGGACTGAAGCCGCCCCGCATCGCTCACGGTCCAGCCATGGATGAGCAGGCGGGCCCCGGTGTCTTCTTCAACACCAGCGGCAGCTCGGGCTTACCCGGCGCGGGGAACGTTAAAGCTCCGCAGCCCGGGGACGGCGGCGGAGAGGCGGCCCGGGCTCAGTACAGCATCCCGGGGATTTTACACTTTCTCCAGCATGAGTGGGCCCGCTTCGAGGTGGAGAGGGCCCAGTGGGAGGTGGAGCGGGCCGAGCTGCAGGTAAGCAGCCTCTCGGTCGCAGGGGGTTTCATTGTTTAGGTTGCTAGCAGAACGGAGAGGCGCTGTACCGAAGTTCATTGGAGAATGTGGAAATTGTTCTTAAAATCGATTATCGGTGAATACATCGTCAGAGTAAAGTAAAAGTTATAGTTTACTTTGATAGAAAGTGTTTTTCGCTTAATTCGGCATAGGTTTAAGCCAGTAAAATGTATGTTTTTGTGTAATGTTTTTAACTTTTTGGACGCTAGGTGCAGTTTGCATGTGCCTTGTCGCGCACGGGGCTCAGTACGCAGAATGACGCACATTCATTAAGTAACATAATGTTATGTGTTTGTAAGCGCTTCTTCTCTAAACGTGTTATCGCCGAATTCACGCTCCGATTCCAGTGTTTCTAGATGCGGTGCTCGGTACTGGTTTTACTGTTCGTTTCCCAATGTCAAGCGGGATGTGCGAGAATTGCGTAATATTTAAATGGCAGTTTCGCCTTATGCTGTGTTCGCTGCGCTCTCTGCTAAGCAGGCTAGCTGCGGGTGACATTTCAGTCATTCCAGCCGGCTCTGTGTGGGTGTGAGCAGCTACCTGTCATGCAAGCTTACGCGTGTACTAAAAGTCCGCAGCCAGGTCACCTGAGACGTGCCAGGTTTACCTGAGCGGGGCAAACGTGCACGTAGAGCCGTGCTTGCTTTTGTTTGTGGGTTGTTGTTTTTTGGTTGGTTACCGGAATCGGTTAGTTTCCCAAACCGCCCCAGGAGGGCTTTGTCCCACAAAGATCAGTGTGTGTGTGTTCAGTTAAACGTGTCCGATAATGGGTGCATACCGATAATGGGCGCGTGCACGCTGCGTGATCCCGTCCAGTCACGAAACGTTTGTGTGCAGATTTAAAAGCTGCAACCTTAAACCGAGACCCTGCCGGTGTTTTCCTCTCAGTGTGGAGCAGAGCCTCCGTGGGACAGCATGCAGGGCTCCTTATCCTGCTTTAAAAGAGGGAGGTCTGCATACTACAGTCAGAGGTCAAAAATGAATTCAACATATCTGCAGTGGCAAAGTGAGTCAAAGCATTTAAAAGGCAACAAAAACATTTTCACTTTAAAATGTTCAGTAGTGTCCGTGCTGCAGGAGTTCTTGGTGCTCTCGGAGTTGAAGAGCAGAGAGTCAGAACATCATAGCGCTGCTTTCTGATGACAGATTTAGTTTATTTTGACAATTTAAACACAAACAAAAAAAACAAACATCCCTTTTAATTAAAGTTTGAGCCACTTAGCGACAGGCGGCAGATTATTGGTGTCCACTGCCTCTTCAGTTTATTATCCTGTGGAAAATAAAATGGCTCATATACCTCCCATTATTCCGGATCACTGACGCTAAACATGTTTTTAATAACAGACAAACGTAGCCTGTGACGCTCAGCTCTTTGCTTGTTTCTGAGAGTCATCCTACAAAACCAGTTGGGTTAGCGTCATTAGCACAGTCCTTCTTTTCTCTCAGTCAGGGGTGAAGTTTGGAATCCAGACTCAGAGACGTCCTCCACTCCCTGTAGGACCAGCGAGGTCAGAGCTTTCACTGCTCACAGATCAGATCCAACGATCATAACGGCGCAAAGGTCGGCTGCCTCCCTGCGAGTGCCTCGTGTGTCTGGGGTCAGTCCCACCTGTCCTCGCTGAGCACCGTCATGGTCACAGTGCTGAATGATATCAGGGCCCGCCTTCATGCAAAGTATAAATTTGAAAGAAATGAATGGTTGATGCAACGACCCAGCGTGTAGCCCCTTCTGTAGGAGGGATAACCTGCAGTGATGTTTCCTGCGTGACCTCATCAATCGGTCTCATCCCTGTGCAGGATGGACAGACGCTGACTCTACGTTACGTCGTAGAGGAGCTCGTGGTGGTTTGACTGTAAGCGCCGATCTGCTACTTGTTTACATGACCTGTTTACATGACTGTGTGCTCACCTTGGTATTTCTGGTTGTAATTTATGTTTACTGCAATGGACGCACAAGTAGTAGAAGAAGAACGCATCTCTAACTTTTGTTCTGTTGGAGTAAAGTTTTCATTTCCTCTTTCTGGGGTGAATTCCTCGGTGCAGGAACGACTCTGATGCTTCTGATGAAATAACAAACGCCAAAACGATCGATGCCATCATATTTAATGGCTGAAATCTCTTCGTTTGCACTTCCAGCAGATGTTTTGTTGCAGCGTTATAAAATCAGAGTGTATCGATCCCTGCTGTGCATGTGTGGTGCAGGTGAGCGTTTCCTCCTGTGAAGGATGCCGGGCAGTGAGTCAGACGATCTCACGGCGCGTGGGACGCTTCACGCTCATGTCTTACATAAGCTCGAGTCATCGTCGGCCGAGCTTCGCTGACAGCCAGCCCGTAAAGGAATCACTTCCTGTGTGGCGGCTCAGCTGGTGCACCATTTAACCCCCCCCCCTCCCCGGCCCAATCAGATAGCAGGCGTCTCTTTGTGTCTCTCAGCTGTCTGAGTGGCTTTGATGATAAAGACCTGGAGGGGGTTGGAGGGGGGTGACGATTGGAGCGGGACGGCGCTGGCTGGCCGACGAGGCCGGAGACCAATTTGAGCCGTAAATCCATCTGTTCTGGTGCAGACGGGCTGCATGTCATCACGGGCTGAGACGGAGCGTGAGTGTCACTTCCTCTGAGGTAATCCTCCGCAGGGGAGAGGAAGAGGAGGAAGAGGAAGCTGGCACACAAGAACAGGAGAGATTACTCACAGTCTATTGTCCACAAACAAAGAGACAGGGCTGGAAGCTCTGAGCGACCAAGTCTGATTCCCCGTTTCTCGTGTGCGAGTTCACGACACCAGTAAAGACCTGTCTGTTTCAGGACAGCTAGCAGCCACCTGTCAGCCAGAGAGGCCACGCCCCTCTAGCAGCCACCTGTCAGCCAGAGAGGCCACGCCCCTCT